GTCTCAAAAAAAAAAAAAAAAAAAAAGAAAAAGGTTGAGAGAGAAAACAATGAAAGCCAGACTCAGGAACCTTGAATGCAAGGCCAAAAAATTTAAGTTCTATCAGGAAGGCTTTGGGGTTTGGTGATACCCCCCAGTTTAGAAACCTTTAAAACAATGGTGTGAGAAGATGATTAGAAGTCTGTGGCAAGGTTTTGGAGGGTGGAAGAGAGACTAGAAGCATAGACACCAGTTAGAAGACTGAATAAATCTGGTAACGAGAATTGAAGATGTAAAAGTTAAGGAAGGTGGAGAAATGATTACAATTTCATACCCAGATGGTGGTAACAAATGGAATCATTGATGATTTGGGGGATAATATTCATTTAGTCAGTCAATATATATTTAACAAAACACCTACTATGTAGGGTAGGCACTGGAATTACAGTGAAGAACAGAAAGACAAATGGTCTCTACCCCTATGGAGCCCACATTTAATGGAAAAAAGGGACAAGAAACAAATTAAATATAATACACACACACACATGCAGTAGGACCTCTGTAAGCTGACCATTCAAGGGACTCTAACAAACTGCTCAACATATGAAGTTGGTCACTGTAAGGAACTCGGCCTCCTGTACTGGTATGCACATGTGGTGCATGTCCAGTCTATTAAAATTAGGTCAGCTATGGAGGTTCTACTGTGTGTGTGTATGTGTATATATGTGTGTTTATATATATAATTTCAGGTAATGACAGCTGTCCTGAAGAGGACAGCAAGGAATAGTGAGTGAAGAAAAGAGGCAAGTGTTAGAATCTTCCAGGTAATACTTGAGTAGAGAGAGGGAGCCTTCTTACTGGCTGGGGAAGGAGCATTCCCAGCAGGTAGTGGAGGCTCCAGGTGCCTGAGACCAGCAGGAAGACCCGGCTGGAGTACAGCTGCAAGGGAAAGAATGGTAGGGAGTGAGATGTGCAGGGCAACCAGGGAGTAGAGCACCTAGGATCCTGAAAACCATGCTACATTTAATTTTACTCTAGGTGTGATGGAAAGGCCTGGGGATCCCTGTGGCAGCAGAGTTAAGTAAGAGGCGGTTATCAGTAGTCCCAGTGAGATAAGGTCGTGGCTCAGGTGAGGTCTAGGATGATAGTAGATATGGTGAGAAGTGGTGGGATTCCAAACATATGTGGGTCATTATGAAAGTTTTGAGATAAAAATTGAGAAACAAAAAATCCATGGAGAAAGAAGCAAACGAAGCCCCCCCCAGCAACAGCGATAAGCTGAGCAAGTTGAAACTTGCGTGGGTGAATAATGGACCACAACAGTCTGTCTCAAAACTGTTATAGTGACCCATGTACTTTGGAGGTAAAGCAAGAGGAATTGATGAGGTAGATGTGGGATGTAAGAGAGTAGTATCATGGACTACCCCCAGGGAGTCTATGATAGATCCGTGTGAATTAGAAAGAGCAAATTTGTCTCTGGGCAGAAAGCAGATCTTCTCAGCACTTCTGGGTGAAGAAGGCCCCCCTCCTCCCCAGCGGGTACCCCTGGGTGCTAGGAAACCCAGGATGGGCTGGGTACCCTGACTTGGCCATGGCTGGGCATCCTTGTGAAGGATGCCATCTGTATAAGCAAGTGCAGCAGCACTGGATGAGGTCTGACATTTTTTGGCCTGAGCAAGTGGGTAAATTGTCCCCCAAATGAGGGGACTGAGGAAGGAGCTGGCTGCTCTGGAATGAGGAGCAACACAGGTCACACTTTGGCCCTAAGAGTGAGGTCCCCTTAAACATCTGGGAGGCAATGGCAGGTGGGCAGGTGGGCATGGCCCACTGGAGTGGGGTGGGGAGTCAGGGCTCCTGAGGTTTTTGAGTTTGAAATGGTGGCATGACTATCAAGTAGAGCTGGAGGGCTAGGCCTTCATGGGCAGGCATTCTGCCCAGAGGAACATAGGAAACCTTTGGGGGCATTATATGGAAAAACAAGGATGGAGATGGCCTTTGAAGTACGGTTAGGCAGTGGGAAGTGGCCAGTGACTCTGCAGAGCAGCTAATGAGAGGAAGAGAGGGTGACGCAGCATCATGGAAGACAACCCCGGGCAGGTGGGGCGTGTTGGTGTGAGCAGGAGGCGGCAGGGCTCAGGACGCTGCTGAGCTTTGGGGGGCACCGTTTAGAGGCAACAGTGAGTGTAAAGGTGATTTTCAGAGAATTAAAAACATACTTTGTGAAAATGTGCGCTGAAACGGGGGGAATAATAGGGGCTCAGGTTTTTCAAAATAGGACGAAGTTGTGTCTCTGTTGAGCCCGATAAGGGAACCAGTAGGGAGGGAAAAGTTGAAAGACACTGGAGACAGAGGGGTTAAGTGGAGAGAGCAGAGTTAGGGGACGTGCAGGACATGTTAGAAGGAATAGGTGAAGAAGGGAGGCTCAGAAATGAGGATGCTCTGAGAGTTGGGAACAGTTTTTTTTTTTTTTTTTTT